TATGTAACAACAAAAATAATATCTTAAAATATGTGAAAATTTGGTGCGCCTATAATTTTTTCGATTACTGTACATAAGTTAACTATGATTACTCGGCCGTGCTATCATAGTAGCACAATGCCACTAAGTGCATTTTAAAATTTTCAGGCAATAGCCTCATGCGATTATCGATTCTATTTTTTGTCGTTTGTGCGAAGTATTTTATTTTTATCAGTATTTTTATTTTCATCAAAATATTTTGGAATACTAGTAATTTTTATGCAAAAAACCAAACCGATTGAAATATGAAAGTTTTAAACGTTCCATACTTAAACTGGGCGCAACTTTTATCAACTCACGTCGAGCGCACGTTTATACATTCAAGGCTTTTATTCGCGAAAATCTAATGAAAATGAAATAGAAATTAAAGTTTTGTAAGTTAAAAACTTGAAAGGAGAAAATTGTCAAAGATTGAAAGAACAAATTTTTCATGCAAAGAAACTATTTATTTCATAATTTTTCTCTGCTACTTGTAAAATAAATATTTCTAAAATAAATGTATTTTTTGATTACTTTTCGGTTTTTGTATTTTTTTAGTGCCTTCTTTGGCCTGTTTTGCGATTTTTAGTGCCTTTTCCTGCCTATTTCGCTTTTTATTTTGCCTTTTTATGGGTTTTTAGGTCCTAAAAATCCTTTCCCTGCTCATATATTTTCTTAGTACATGCATACATAGATTCCTTTCAAGACCAATGATTTGATGGTATTCATGGGGAAGTTTATGTACATAGGACATTTACATATTTTACATTTTTAACATAAATGTGTATGCCCATATTTTAAGGTACACTTCTTAACAAACAAAAGTTTTTAAGTTATTATGAATGGACATTTTAATAGTATTTCAAGGGCTTTTCAAAACTTTACGACACGCACATACGACAAGATTGGCCATTTATCTTAAAATTACTTAATTTTGATTATATTGTTTATAAAAACGCAGTTTATACTTTAACAAAACCCTTATAAATTCAAGGTTCAATGCTTGCGCAACATTAAAAAATCAACAATTTCATGAAAATTTCGAGCTATCTTATGTGTATATAAAAATAAGTGAACGTTTTTGGTGTGAGCTTATAACTTGAGAACAGCTTCACTGAATCAACAAATTTATATTGAAATATTTGAAATATTTATGGTAGATTACTGAAAATTGGTATGAGAGACATAATCCCTACTCATGGAGAAAAAAATGTGCGGTATTGGAAAAGGGGGCTGGTATCTCCCATCTTAAATAAAAAAAGAAGTGACGAATTCTACCAAATTTAAACGGTATATTCGGACTATCAGCAGATGGGTTATGTGAAGTGTGCCCGAATTCGGTCAAGCGGTTCATGATATAAGACAGTTTATGTCTGCCACATGAACCACGTATATGGTACAACAGCATATATGAAAAATCGAAAACATAGTGAAAAATTTTGCGGCTATGATGTGCTGTGTTTATTTTTTCTTCAGATATATTAAGTCAAGTATAAAAATCTGCAATATAGTAAAAAAAAAAATTCATATAGAAAAATTCAAGATTTTTCAATACTTTTTTTCAATATTTGGTGTAGAGAAGCACACCGGGGTACCGCTAGTTTAATTATATTTCCTAGAAATACATATTTTGAGTATGCAGTTTTGTAGCCCCATCAATTTAAATAAAGTGCAAGTTTAAAATAGCTGCGCTTTCGGATTTTTAATATTGTTATTTTCTTTTTAGATGAAGGTGTTGCTCACTTTCTTCATTAAACAAAAATCGTCGAACTGTAGGTACTTAGATAATATGGAAGAAAATGACCGACATCGTCAAAACTTTACTACTTTACAACTACTTTAAACTTGCGCTTTATTATACTAAAACTGAGTGAGCTAAAAAACTGCAAAATATTAAAAAAAAAGTGAAATTGTTTAAAGACTTAAACTTATTTTCATACAGTTTTAAGGAATAAACTATAGGCGAAGACAAAAAGAGAATAAACAAATTTTCCGCAGTGAATTTTCAGAGCAATATATTTATAGTGTTTATAAAAAAATTTTACTAAACGGACTGCGTAGTAGGAAAGTATATTGTTCACGCAATTGTATCAAAAAAGTACAATTGTAACAAAAATACCAACACTGAGGGAGGTCCGCATAGGTCAACACAATTTTTTTTTTGTTTTACGGCGCGTTTACATTGGAAAATGCTGTCAGACAATGAAGATATACGTATTAGTTGTCAAAATTGTTTAATGGAAAAGTATGCATGTTTAGGAAAAAGTGTGCATGTATTGCTATGTCATGCCAGTATTGTCCGGTGTAAACCCTAAGTTACTTGTTTTACCTTACATACAGATTATCTACATATCTGTGGTCATAAGCAATAACCGCCTAAGTCGACTTAAGGAAGAATTGAGTTATATATGATATCGTATTCCGCAACTACTATTCCATGTTTATGTGAAATCCCCATCTCGCCAGCTATGCTATTTAAAAAGTTATAGATGAGCATATTTTAGTTTCCCCTATAAGGTTAACATTACAATCGAAATGTTTAAAAAACGTTTTTTTCTCGAATTCAGGTTTTTCGACTTAGGCGGTTATTGTTTAGGACCACTGATAGAATGTATGTTCTATGTATGTACATACATACATATGTAGATACTGACGTGGAAATCAACTTCTGCCAGAAGTCATTCAACTTGCAAGCTGGCTTTTTTCAGAGAGATCTCTGTAAATTTTGTAACTTCATATACAATAGGGAAGCCAACTCGTGGGGAATTCCCCGATTTGCGGGGAATTTCAATCTGCGTGGGGAATCGGGGAAAGGCCCATTTTTTTAAGTTAAAATGTCAAATTGTCACCGTGGAATTAGCCGTATGCAGTTTTGTAGCTCGTTCAAATCTAGTATTTCAAATGGCTAAAAATTACCGTAGGTTTTTTTAAATATCGCATTTGCTTTCATATAACGAATAAACACAATTTATTTTATATAGAAGAAAACAGCAACATCTTAAGCAAAAAAAAAATCGTAGGCGAAATTTTTTAGGTACTTGAAACTTGCACTTTTTGTACCCGAGCGCCTTGTACACAAGGGTATTATAACTTTGTTCGCATAACGGTTATATCTAACAGCCTAAAGGATTCGAGGTAGATATAGACAAATGTATACATAAATGATTATAATGAAGAAAGAAATCGATTGAGGCATGTCTGTTTGTCCGTCCGTCCGTCCGTCTGTCCGTGTATACGATAACTCGAGTGAAAATTGAGATATCTCAACGAAATTTGGTATAAAGATTGCCATTTATCCTAGGCAGATTGCTATTTAAAATGGGTGAAATCGGACTATAACCACGCCGCCCTCTCATATAACGGTATTTTCGAAAAATGCAAAAAGTTTCATATTTCAGTAAATATTGGATCCAAATTGTTCCAAATTAGTATGTCAAATAGAATTTTGGTGTAAAATAATAATATTATGAAATTTTTGGAAAAGGGGCGTGACCCCACCCACTTATGATGAAATACTGTATCTTAGTAGCCGCTTCACCAATCCTTACCAAACTCGGTACGAGCATTTCTTCGGATCCAGCTAAGAAATTTGTGAAAAATCTTTGAAATCGGGCAATAGCCACGCCCATCTTCCATATTACGGTAATTTACAGAAACACGAAAACTGCGATAAACCGGTAACTACTGAAAATAATTGACTCTAAATCGATTATTGCAATGACCACCGAGCAAAAAATTAGGTTATTATTATAAATTTTTGGATTAGGGCGTGGCACCGCCCACTATTAACCACAAATGTGTATCTCGATAACCGATTAACAATTTTTACCAAACCCGGTGCACTTAATAACCTTGGCACGGAAAAGTAATTCCTTGAAGACTATTCAAATCGGACCAAAATTACACCCTCTTCACGAATAAAGATAAATTTGGGATATACGAGAACTTCGATATTTCAATGACTGAGGACGCTCATTTACTCCAAGTTAATACTTACAACAATCTATTGACAATAAANAAACGGTTTTTGTTAAAAAGTGTACAATATTTTTATAAAAAAATAACTCAAATTAAATAACAAAAAAAAATAATAATTGTGAAAACTAGTTAAAATTTGGTGCGACTAATTTTTTAATATTATATGTAAATTTTTTATGATTTATTTGTTAAGAAACATTATAAAAGTTTGGTTTGGTTTATGAATACATAGATGAATTACATTTAAAAATAAAATAAACAGAAAGAACAGAAATATATTAAAATACCAATTGTTTTTTTGTCGTAAATAAGAAGATATCTATGGGTGGTGAATTTTACGAGGTTTCAGGCAAAATCGGGGAATTTGATTGCCAAAATCGGGGAATTCTCAAAAATGAGTTGGCCACCCTGATATACATACATAGTACCTTTAAAAATGAGTAAATATCGCTGATGAGCGACTAGAAGAGAAACGCTTCAAATATACATACATAAATAAAGCGATCTGCACAAGAGGAAGATATTAAGTCAATGTAGGTACTATATATGTATATCCATACATGCATGCATTTGTATGAGAATAAAAATCTCCATTTCGCTATCGAGTGTCTCTCCGATGAGTGTAGTACGTATCGCACACGATCTTCAAAGGTGACGCAACTCAAAATTACACGTTTGTCATAAAAAAATGCGAAAAACTATTTCTTATCACATGCTAATCATATATTAGGTTGTTTTTTTCAACCACTTATAACAAAAATATGCTCTAGCTTTTGCTAAAATGTAAATAAAATCACTGTGTACATTTGTATTGCATAATTTCAAAAATATCAAATTTTGAATTGTATCACTTTTGAAGATCGTATGCGATATGATGGAGACTGTGTGGAGTTGCGGGAGCAGGGCTACAATATTTGAGAACCACCTAAGTAAGTGAGCGCAGCTACATGGTGGTTATAGCAACAGGCTAATCTACCTTTCTTTTCCTATTCGTGTTTATTCAGTCATAAAATTTTGCCGGTGGTGTTGAAGTGACGAAAGCACGACAACAAAATTTGTACAACAGAATAAACTGAAAAATTTGATAAGCAGAAATTTTAATATACATGTATCTAAATATGCAAACGCCAATAAAGTACTTGCCAAATCTAGTTGCCATTGTTGTGTTCATCATTTGGACGCCAGCGACAGAGGCCAGCTCATGCGCCGGCTGTGTGGAACTGGATGAACTGAACTTCGATCAGACTATCGAGCGCTTCCCTTACGCTCTGGTCAAGTTCGACATAGCTTTTCCATATGGCGAAAAACACGAAGCTTTCGCCGCATTTTCAAGGGCGGCACACAAAGTTACCAAGGAGCTGCTGGTAGCTACTGTTGGCATCAAAGACTACGGCGAGAATGAAAACAAGGAACTGGGTCTAAGATTCAATGTGGACGACAAGAATTTCCCCGGTATTTTGCTCTTCAAAGATGGAAAAGTGGATAAATTTGAGCGATTTCCCGCTTATCTGGATGTGACATTGGACAATTTGAAAAAATTCGTGACGCAGAATACGGAATTGTATATTGGACGCGATGGCTGTTTGAAGGAGTTTGAGGAATTTGTCAAAAAATATGCCAACAAAGAGGACTCCGAACAGAGGAAATTGATAGAAAAAGCTGAAAAAATATCGCAAGAGCTAACGAGCGTAGCCGCAAAGACAAGTGCTAAAGCGTATATCGTTTTCATGAGGAAAATCAATGAGAAGGGCTACGACTATGTGGAGGAGGAGACAAAGAGGTTGCAGCGTCTGAGAGCTGGAAAAGTAACGGATGCAAAGAAATTGGAGCTGCAACAGAAGCTTAACATACTGGAGGCATTTAGAGTGACTAAACTGACCAAAGGGTTGCCAAACGAAGAACTCTAAAAGTGATGTACAAATCGCATGCAGAAATATGTACATAGGCACATAAAAACGTAAGCCAGGCATTATCAAGACGAATTCATATACATTTAAATTCGCCTTGGGCAGTATGTAGTAAAATGAAAGACAATCATTTAATTTGACACCAAATACTTTTCAAAAAAATAATTGTGGTGATACACATGTACATAGATAGTCCGTATGTAGTATATAATTACATATGTAAGTTCATGCATACAATGGCGTTAATATGCAGGGAATAGCGGAATAAAAAGCAATAAGGGCATATTTGGAAAAATTAATAAATATGTGCTTCGATACATTAGATAGCACCTAAACTGTTTACTAAATGTACAATATGTATTAGGTATAATGAATCAAATCAAATATGATTACTTAGTTTACGTTAATAAATTATTACACAGCTTTTTCCTTGTTTGAAACATTTTGTTTGTTGTGTTGCAAATTACACTGGAACTTGCTATGGTAACCGGCTTTTGGCATTCGCATATGACTAGATAACAAATGCGTTTGGTATTCGGAGACACGTCGGATGAAATAATATTTTGGCTACTTTACAGTGGACTTGCAGTGGGCCAGTTTTTTACCCTAAGGCCAAGGCCACGCAATGAGCGGCGAGCGGCTTAAAATGTATACATATGAGATCTATTGAAGTGGCCATTGAGGAATCTACATAGATAAAGATGTAGGAATGATACAAACAAGAAGGTAGTTTCAATCAAGGCATATTAAATAAGGTAGAAGTGATTTTGACATTTCTCTCTTTTGAACACCGACTATAATGTCAAATGATGAGTAACTTTTAACCGTTTTCAAGTTGGCATTTTCTATTTTTCATTAAAAACTCAATTACGTGCTGTGAATAGTTTTGAACGGTGTGAATTTTTTTGTTTTTCGACCACATCAATTTATAGATACATATACAAAAATGAAATGGAGCAGAAACTACGAGCGTTGTGCTGTGTTTGGCAGGAGCCAAGACGTTAAAGTGGTGCGATACTTTAAGGCGCCTAGTTGCGAAGTTAGAAGACTTCGCTGGGAGAACAGCTGCGGTGTTTAATTGTAAGATTCTTCCCGTGCATGTGAAAATCATTTCAGCGTCCGTTTTTACTTGCCCATTGCGGACAAATATTTTTAAGCGCATGCGTTTATGCCCAGGTGCAGAACCCATGCCCTGGGAGGTTCCTGTGCCTGGAATGCCTAAAGCACTCGAAAGTTCAGAAGTGACGATATCATCTGTTGATGCGCAGACGCAAACTGAGTAAGTCTGCAAGAAGTAAGTAGTTCTTACAAAATTATGCTCACATAAGCACGTCAAGACCTATATTTATACTGATATACATACATATATACGTATTTATATGTAAATGAATTTTTTACCAACATGTTTTTAAATTTTTTATTCAGCAATGATTCCATACAATGTAGTTTCAAAACGGAAATATACCTTCTTCATTAAAAAAAGACAATGGAAGACAATATAGCGGATCTTACCTTTCAGTTAAACGGGACTAAGTCTTTACAAACCTCCCTTGAAAAAATTTTCACTAAAGGGCAGTTAAAAAAACTATCAAGAAATTGTTAGAATTAGAACCTTCGTATAAATTTAGAAAAAAACATAAAATCAAGTCCCGGTTGTTTTTAGAATAAAATATTTAAATAAGAAACTAAACGCGCAAAAACATTGGGATAATAAAAACAAAAAAGTGTTTAAAACAATCGAATAAAACATTTCTTTAATTTTATTAACGTGGTTTCCTTTATGAGATATATCGTCGCTGCGCCAACAAAAACAGTTAGGTATGTGATTTTTGAAATTTTTTTTATTTTATGAACACTACCTATTGCCCACATTACTGCATTTGCCGTTCTCTTAGGATATCTGCACACTTGTCGTCCAATCGTAGTTGCGTTATCGTCTCGCCCTGAAATTTTGAGCCGAGCACATGCATTTCAAAGGAGATCTGCACACTTGTCGTTATCGGCTAGTTATCGGCAAATCGTAGAAGATGCAGAAACGGATAGTATGGCACTGTAGTTTGCTAATCGTTGTGCACGCATTGTTTGTTTACATTTTATGGGGAAAAATTAGTGAAAAAGTTAATATTTGCATTTGTAATATTGCAATTTGTATTTTTTGAATAAAATCTGTAGAAGTTATTAAAAAGTGGATAATTGCAATGAAATTCAATAAATGTGAGAGTTTTAACTATGAAATATGACGAAATTGTAAAAAGTCTCTGCGTGCGTGCGCATTTCAGGAAAAGAAAAGAGAAATTACTGAAAAATTATATCTAGAATTGTTGCAGCATAATCCATATTTTGAAAATTCCAGGTTTTTGTAAATATTTCGCGAAAATATCTACCAGAAAAACAGAAAATACTTGCTCCAAATGAAGTTTTAGACGCCACGACCGAGTATGTGAAAGTGTAGTCGTCATGTCATCGTTGCATCATGATTGTGACATTGAAGCAACAATGATTGGACGACCAATGTGCAGAAAGCCTTATATATCTTTTGGTTTAGAACTGACCAAAAACCGTACATACATATGTCCCCGCAGTACTAGAAATACATACTCCGAAAAAACCGGTATACGCTTCATTGCTTATAACTGATGANAAACCGTACATACATATGTCCCCGCAGTACTAGAAATACATACTCCGAAAAAACCGGTATACGCTTCATTGCTTATAACTGATGAGCGGGCTTTGATTTCGATGTAGGTAAAAACTAATTATAAACCAATTAATGCATACATACATATGTATGCACATACCACTTACACTACATAGATTCTAAAATTCAATTTGATCGCTGGCAATAAGTTTATACACAAAGATTTCCATTCGTTTTATGATAATCTACCTCGATAAATACATACTTAGTTTTACATTTTTATGCAATTTAATATATTATGCAAATTTGCTTAATGTATACAAATGTGAAAGCATTTAATAAAAATTCAATTGTATTTATATTGAAATTATTTCTTGTATATACGAGCTTTCATTGCATATCACCCATCGAAACTTGGAAAAAGTGCATTGGGTCAAGTTAATACGCTGTCCGAAAAAACCAGTTCTCTGGCAATTTCATGGTTTGTACAAAATACCAAGTAGGTATCGAAACAACGATTCGAGTAAAAAAAGTAGTTGGTATCGAAACAAAAGTATCGAGTACATACTCGTATTTACTTGTATCGGAACATCCCTACGCTTTATTACCTCGAGATTTAACTATGTAATATTGATGCGCCTAAAAGATGCAGCGATTTCTATTCTCAGGTTACATACCTGATGACAGTACGAATAGCAATTATAATAGGGAGGTTTTATTTTCTTAAACTATAATTTTTTATTCATTACATAACAGGAGCAAGGGGCAGTTAACTAATCGAGTCCTCAACTAGGCCTAACGGCAACATTATGTACATATTGCATACGATTCCATACCGCCAAAAGCAAATTTAAATCGTGTATAAAAACAGCTATGTGCTTTAAAGCGGCGCAAATGTTGATCACGTTGTAATTGGCCAAAAAAAATGTTTTTTTTGCATAAATCAATAACATATTTTTAATATAATTTTGAATAACACCACATTTGCCAAATATTGCCTATTCGCACCAGGAATCAGTTTTTTTGCTCTCCTGAAAAGTTATAAAAAACACATAACTGTTTTTGTTGGCGCAGCGACGATATGTTTCTGTCAATATGTATACATATCGTCGTTTAAAGTACAAAACCGTGTATCGTCATTCTGCAAAACCGCGTAACTAACATTGGCTGCCAAAAATTGGATTTGCTTACACAAGCTCTTGGCTCAATCATTACCCATTCGTCCTGAAATATAATAGGCAGAAGTGCTATTGCTTTATAAAAAAGAGGACCGTTTTGAAATATGAGTGTTTTTACTCTCTAGAGAATAATTTATACGCGGTTTTGCATTATCTTGATACCCGGTTTTGCATTTTGCTGAAACGCGGTTTTTTTACTTTAAACGACGATATGTGCATATAAGATGCGAATGCAGTTAAAAGTCTTTCAAGGAAATATTGAAGTAAGTCTTAAAATTAGTATACATATATATGTATGTATTTATGCTGATGCGTTATGTCACTCCTTACATATTGACATAAAGCCAATTTTTTTCTTGTGGTAATGTCTTTTTTGAGTCTAAAGCATATTTCCAGCTCAAGAAATATAAAAAAATCTTATAAAAACACGCTTAAAAAATGAAAACGATCCATTAAGATTTATTGGTCCATTTACAGTTCTCTAGAGATATATGTACATATGTATATGTAAATATTTCTTCAAGAAAATTTACAGCAATGGCAAAGCATTCTTTCAATGGAGAGAAATAATGAAAATTATCTCTTGTAATTTTTCTGAAGCTGGAAATTAAGCTTAAAAGCCCGATTATGCATCACTTGGACTTAACTTGCCTTACCTACACTGAGGGAAATAATGCACAGTAAAAATAAATACTTTATATTTCACTGATAAGAGTGGCCATAGACATATTGAGGACCTCCGTTAGGTACGCTACTCCCGCAGGACCCAAATTTTCAGCATCAACATGCATATTCCGTCGGGACCCATGGCTTTGGAGGCTTTTCGGAGGCAAGGGGGAGGGGGGGCACAAGTTGTTGGCAGTTTGTGCAGCCTTCTGGTCCCTCGACGCTTGGCTTTGTCCACCGGAGGATGCAGTATGAACTGCCGGCTAAAATAGCTCGCGCATCGCTCCGGGTCCGACGAAGCATGGTCGCCGAAAGAAATTTCGACCCTGTCGTCGTGCTTCGTCGGATTGGACACTGACCTCACGGTTGACCAAAGCTTACTCACATCGGAGGCGAAGTTACAGGTCTTCAGATGCTCTTCCCACTTCTTCCGCTTATGTACGTTCACTAGGTGCCGAATCTCCGCGTTGAGATCCCTGATACGAGGATTTCCGGGATCGGCCTGACGAAGACTGTCACGCTCATCGGCTAGAACAGCCGCTTCAGCAGGGAAATTTGGACGTGCGTCCGTCATGCATCCTGCCGATACGAAGCGAGCTGCAGCAGCAGTGATAACCCTGCGGAACTTACGTTCACCAAGGTATCCAATGAGCTTTTAAGTGCTACCCCAGAAAGAGGTAATGCTATTAAGGGCCGTTTTCTCATCTAACCTTTAGTTTACCGGCCACTTTATCGTCTCGATATACGAGTTTTCGTTTTCTCATCAGCGCATTAATTTCTCGAATCGATAAACTGTTGCTCACCCGAT